CGCAAAAGGCAACTCAAAATGGGAAGGTCTTATTTAGGCTCATAGTTTCGGAAGAGATAGACTCCATCTCACCGGGGAGGCATGCAAGGGACAGCTGGTCACGTCATGTCCTTAGTGTGCCGCCCGGTTGGCCAGCGTGGCCCAAGCTGGGGTTCTCCGGGGAGGGTGGCTCAGTTGAGGAGCCGCCTCCGCCAGATTGGCCTGCATGCAGGTCTGTGGAGGCCTGGTTGACGATTGATGCAGAAGGGCCCAGCCAACCGTGGCTGGTCCTGGGGTCTACAGGAGAGCACTGAGCAAGCCAGCCTGCAGCATTCCTCTGCTTGCTGGTCTCTACTTCAGTTCCTGCCTCCAGGAGTTCATGCCTTGGCTTTCCTTAGTGATAGAGGGAGCATGCAGGCCAATGAAGCCCTTTCCTCTCTATGTTGCTTTTGGTCAGTGTTTAGTCACAGAAATAGAAACAGAGAGAGGCTGGTGCGTAACTTCTCTCCTTCTCTGGACCCAAGTCTTGACCGCATGAATCGTCCTTCCTCAGTTTAACCTCTCTGGCCATGCTCTCACAGACGTGCCCAGGTGTTTCCACCGTCCTTTTAAATTCAGTCAGCACATGGCTTCTCAGTCAGTCTCCTCTGTCTTTCAAATGACAAGGACGCTTGGAGTCCTCAAGCATGCACCTTCCCTTTCTGCTAGAGAAACAGCTTTGCATGTTGGGCACTGACTCACCAGTAGGCAGTTTCTCCTGTCTCAGTGTCACTGTACCACCTCACCCAATGGCTGGGGTGGCATCATGTTCTGAGGTTCCAGAGGTGATGACAGGACATGTTTGCTTGGGGAGAGGACTGGTGCCTGACACAAAACCTAAGTAAAAATTTATGACGTATTGTGTGTGTGAAAACTATCTTGAAGCATGTCTTAGTTACTATTGCTGTGATGAAACATGAGCAAAAATAAGTTGGAGGAGGAAAGCGTTTATTTGGCTTATGCTTACACCTCCATCAGTGAAGGAAGTCAGGACAGGAACTCAAACAGGGCAGGAATATGGAGGCAGGAGCTGATGCAGAGGCCATGGAGGGGTGCTGCTTGCTGGCTTGCTCCCAATGGTTTGCTTAACTTGCTTTCTTATAGAACCTCCGATTTCCAGCCAAGGATGGCCCCACCCACAGTGAGCTGGGCCCTCCCCCATCAATCACTAAATTAAGGAAACGCCTTACAGTTTTGCCTGCAGCCAGATCGTATGGAGGCGTTTTCTCAGTTGAGGTTTCCTCTTCTCAGACGACTGTAGCTTGTGTCAGGTTGACATAAAGATAGCCAGTACGAAGCATGTAACAGGAAACCCCTTGATTTTACCTAGTAAATACTGTGTCACCTCCACTGCGCTAATTTCCAATTCCTAACATTATTTATTTGTTTGGTGTTTGGAGACAAGATCTCCTCAAGGAGCCCTGGCTGGCCTGGAACTCGCTTTGTAGATCAGGCTGGCTTTGAACTCACAAACATCTGTCTGCCTCTACCTACAAGTGCTGGGAATAAAGGTGTATGCCCACTGTGCGCAACCCCAGAATTTTTTTAAATTAAGTTTTCAAGGTGATTCTAAACTTCTCATAAAGAAAACTAAGAACTGTCAATGACAATTTTGAAAAATATTTTAGATATCAAGCAAAGTCTATTAAATTTATTAAAATATTAGAAGCATTATTCTTTGAATGTCTGTGGGAGAGAATTGGGACTTTGGGAGAGGATAAATGAACTTCAGATCCTAAAAGGAATCATGACTTTTGAGTAAACAATGGTACATTTTTTTTGTCCATTTGGAAACAAAGTTAGGCCTTATTCCAAGCACAAAAAATAATTTCCAGATGGAGTGAAGAGTTAATACACTAAATAAGATTGTGTATTTATTTAAAGTCTTTAAAGTACCAAAGGTTCAGCTCATACACCAAGTTAAGGGGTACTTAGCCTCATGCTAGAATATGCAATTGGCTGGAAAGTACATGCAAATAAGCTTCTTTTTAATAAAGTCAAGGAAACAGAAACCAAAACAGTCCCCCTTTGCCATGTAGCCCCTATTCCCCTCCCCATATCAACCCAAGCTTTGGCAAGGATGAGGGAACATGCATTTTTACCGAATGAATTATAATGGTCTTCTTGGCAGTACCCACTCTAGTTTTAAGTATGATATTCTTCCATTGAATAATTTCATTTCCAGATGCTTATTTCAGAGAAATACATAGGGAGATGAGCACTAAGAGGCATCTACTGGACATGCTGCTGTTGTTATAACAGAAGCTGCTCGGCAATGTAGAAGTCCATCGTGGAAGGGTTCTTCTCTTTAAATAAACAGTTTAACTTGAAGGGGAGGGGGGAGCAATTTAGTTGAAGCAGTGTAATTTAGAGATTTTGGGGATTTGTAAGAAGGACTGTCTTTTCCAAGTGTGTAATTTTATTACTTCTTACCATAATCTATTTTCTAAAAGCCCTGTGGTATGTATAGTTTAACTGATATAGTTAAGCACCTAGTGGTAATTGTCCAAGAGAAGAAGCGGCAATTGAACCAGAGCCCTAGGAAACAGTGAGTGAACTGGGGATTTCTTTCACTGCCCAATTACACCTGCCCATGACGAGGCCATAGAAAGAGAAGATCTGACTGATCCTCCTCTCATGCTATCCAAATGGATCATTGTCAAGACCAGCGTGGAGCGCTGCTTGCTGACTGCACATTTCTTGTATTCGTAAATAACTATATAATATGTAACACAATAGGAAGCCTGAATCCAGGGCCTTGCTTACACATTGCATGCGTGTTGGGAGGGAGAGAAGACAGAGTAGCTAGCATATTTATACAGGTGCCAGTGCTTAAAATGCAGCCCAAAGAAATGTTATCTTCCTCTCTGTGCTCACGTGTAAGAGATCAAGTGAAATGTCCTCACAAGGGCTTTGCAACATATATTTAGCAGCTTTAGTCCATGGATTTATGATTTGAGGATTAAAAAAAATAAAAAGCTTTGGCTATTTAATTTTATGGGTTTTCTGTTTTAGATGTTTGTGAGAGTACCGGTGTATGTAGAAATCACTTCTTAAAAAACTTTCTGTTGGTTCTTTGTGAATATCACATCATACACCCCAATCCCATTCATCTCCCTGTCTCTCCATATCTGCCCTCTGCCCTTGCAACCTCTGCCCTTTCCAAAGGAAAAAAAAAATAAAAACAACAAAAAGAAGGAAAAAAAAAAACATAAAAGATCTTTCTGTGGAAGTGTCCGTGTGTCATGGTGTGTCCCACAATATTCCTTTTTACCCAGACAGCTTCACTTGCAAATGTTCATTGCCTCTGGCTCCTGCTACAACAATACTGGATCCAATACTGGATCCTCACTGGGACTCCTCTTGGATATCCTGTTGTCCTGTGTCTTGGAGATCTTGCAGCTTTGGATCTGCAGGACCAGCCTTTTCATGCAGTCCAGTAGTTCATAGATGGGATAGATGTTGGGGTGAGCCAAGTCAAAGCCCCGGGTCTGAGCCTGGGTGGTGACTCTGTTGTTCAACCTGCCAGCTCTCCCCATTTGCCCCATAGAGGGGTGGGTCCAGCTTTTCTGCTTGTGGAAGCTACACTCCTGTACTCATACCATTGGAGTCAGCTCTCCTGCATCCATGCCGCCAGGGCTAGCTCTCTAGCTCTGCCCCGATTCTCACCTATTCTCACACCCACCTGTTCTCACACCACCAGAGTCAGCTCTACTGTGCTGCCCAGGTGAGGTGCTGTGGGGAGATGGGTGGAGAGGGAGAGGGGAAAGAGTGGCTCTCTCCCAAGTTCTTCAGCCAGTGAGGGGTGGGGCCAGCTCTCCTGTGCTGCCAAAATGAGGGGCAGGGCCAGCTCTTCCACATTCACGCCCTCAGGGCAGGCTCACCCACTCCCATGCCACCAGGGCCAGCTCTACTATGCTGCCTAGGCAGGGTTTGGGGTGAGTGCTGGATCTGGTGAGATGCAGGCCCAACTCTGCACAGTCCTTGAACTTTAAGATGGCTCTAGGAGGCAGCCCAGACCAGGGATATCCCCATGGCCTTTGGTGGTAGCATGGGCCATGAACAGCAACACAGACCCTTGCTACTGTAGGACCACAAACTCAAACATGGCCCTCGGTGGCGGCATAGACTGCTTACATCAGGCTGATGCTCACTATCTTTGTGTCTCCAGTTCTTCCTCTCTTCATAGTACACACATTCCCTTCTCTTTTTTGCCCCATCTCTCTACCAGATACTTGCTTATCACAGTGATAAGCCTCTGGTATCTTTTGTACATACTCCAGCCTGTCTCTGGCTGTCTTCAGCCCGTCCACCACCACTTGGCAACTGGGCCTCTGGGTGTCTTTCATGTGTGCCACTATCACATGGTAAATCACTTTTCAAATGGAAGATGGATGGGAATTCTTAAGCTACCATTATGCTTAATGAATCTATTAAATGTTGTTTACAGAGAGGGCTACCTTCATTTAGAGGAACATTTTGGGGCTGGAAAGATGGGTCAGAGGTTAAGAGCACTGGTTGGTCTCCCAGGTTCAATTCACAGCACTCGTATGGTGGTTCACAACTACCTATAATTGCAGTTCCAGGACATCTGATGCCCTCTCGTTGGCTTCTGTTGCCACTAGGCAGACAGATAGTACACAGGCACACACGAAGAAAAAGCACCTATACACATAAAATTAAAAAAAAAAAAATAAAGAAGCACTTCATCCTGCAGATAATTGGTAGGCCCATAGTGGAAGGGGCTTGTATTAATTTAATGCTCCTAGGGTTTAAGGTGATTTTTCAGAGGCCATTTCTTTAACATGCTGTGATTTTAGCACACCTGTCTTTGTAACCGAGGGAAAGCCTGGAGAGAACAGCGTGGTCTAGCAAGATTCTCCCCTGAGAGGGCAGCTCATCAGAGATGAGGATGTGATTGTGTCCTCATGTGAGAAAGATGCGACACCTTGTTAAAAAGCAATCTGTGGCTTATTTTGCAGAAGTCGACAAAAGGTTCCGTTGTCCTTGACCATGTTTTCCGTCACATAAACCTCGTGGAGATAGATTATTTTGGGCTGCGATACTGTGACAGAAGCCATCAGACAGTGAGTACAAATGACTTCATGTTAAAATTGTCTGGTTATAAATCTCTGTCTCTGGCCTTTCTGGGTGTGATTCTAGGTGGTTAGGTTTTTTTGGAGCTGAAAATGACTTTGGAAACTTCACTGTCCTTTTCCCATGATCATTTCTTTTACTTTTTCCTTCTCACAAAAGTCTATAGAGTTGCTGGCTTCAGCACTTCTCTGTGTGAAATTCTTTTTGCAGGTGGCTCATGTGGCTTCCATTTTTGCTACCATCTTGCAGTGAGGGCTTTTCCTGTGTGCTGGTCCCTGTCTCGCTGGGAGGAAAGAGTCTCTGGAAGGGGCAGATTGCCTTTTAAGAAAGGAGATGAGGGTTGGAGTGATGGCGCAGCAGTTAAGACCACTGACTGTTCTTCCAGAGGACCCAGGTTCAATTCCCAGCAGCCACATGGCAGCTCACAACTGTCTGTAACTCCAGGTTCGAACTCCCTCACACAGACATACACACAAGCAAGACACCAGTGCACATAAAAATAAGTTTAAAAAAAGAGAAAGGAAATGAGTAAAGAGAATATGTGTGTCTCCTGTCCCCTATCAAACTTTTAAGAGTGGGCTGTCATAAAAGAAAATGGGTGTAGGTTTCCATTCTTCAGCATGGGACAGTAGAGACAGTAAAGACAGTCTATCATTTCCTTCCAGTGTCAGCTTGTCCACTGGTTAGCTCAGGAGACAAGCCTGTCTGCCCGGAAGGTGGAGCTGCTGTGAAGTTTGCCACACTGGGAAGACTTTGTTGGTGACAGACTTTGAAGGATGAAGGCTGTCTGTTTAGTCTAAGGAAGATTTGAGCTTCAGATAGGTGAAACCTAAAATGCTCGGAGGCTTATCTTGGAACTCTCCGGACTGGCCCATTTATTTCTCATCCTGTGCAGCTGTGTTGAAATGAAGAGTTCTTCCTCTCCCCTTCAGGTGTTCTGGGCTCCCATGGTCATTTGGGGATTAATGGCCATAGGGATTCCTCAGGCTGAGAAGAGGCAGGCAAGTGGGGTGCTGCCAGCCTATTCCATTTCACACAAGGATTTCACAAAATAGTGAACACTGGGGATTTCGGTCGATCTGCATAGAAAGAATGGCCTTCTCCAAGGCAAATAGGTATTGGTGTTCATTTTGACAAGGTACAGACATATTCAGAGATTCACTGAATTCTGTCCCATATGGGCTGCAGGTCACAGACTAGAACTGTAGACATGTACAGAATGAGTCAACTCCAGGCTTTAGAAGGTACCTCAAACCGTGTTCCTACTGTATTAGTAGTACTTTCCTAGTAGAGACAAGTACCGTCCCCTGACTGACGCCAGACCCTGCCTGGAAAGATCAACTGGCTTGCTAAAGCCACACGGACCTTATCTGCTTGGAGGATGTCTCGATGACAGGTATCCTCATCTGTGAAAGGGGGAGTCTGGACAGTCAGGGGGATGATGTAACGATGGAAACGGATGTTGGGGTGGCACATCACCAGAGGAGGTCTTTGAGCCAGGGAATGCAGGTGGCCTCTAGAAGCCGGAGAGGAGGGGAGGAAATGGCTGCCTTCCTAGAGAGCTGTTGGGAGGGATGCTAGCTGCCCTTATCCCATCTTATCCCAGTAAGATCCATTTTGGACTTAAAGCCTCCAGAATTAGAAGGTAATACATTTCTGTTGTTTTAAGCCATCAAGTCTATGGCAGTTTGTTGCAGCAGCAGGAAACCAATCCCCGTGGATGTATGGGGGAGAATTTCATTCTTGCTCGCTCAGTGAAAACGTAAGACTTTCTAGTGTGGGTTTTCACATCCGGCCGATGCCTGCAACACTAAGCCGTCTGGGCGGTGAGATCTTGTACCCTCCATGCGGACGTTATAGCTACATGTGTGTCACTGGCGTGCGAGCGGTGTTGCTGCTTCAGAAGCGCGTGGGTTCCTTGCCGAGGGAGAGGGATGGTGAGATCTGCTGGCAACAGGCACCGAGTTAGAACTGTAGCCCAGTCTTCTTCCCTGTAAACATTAAGGATCTGAAGATATTCAGAGGACGGAAGCAACCAGGCTACTTCTGAGGATCTCAGAGACCGTTGTAAGTGGAGTGTGATGAGGTGGAATGGCTGTCTGCTGCTGGAGTCACAGACATCTTTGAATCCCATATCTCTTCCCAGTAAACGGTTACGTTCCTTAGTGCACTTAACTCCTAATATCTGTATGACTCTTTTTTGTTTTACTGTAACGAAACGCCTGAAGCTGGGTAATGAATAAAGAAAGGAGGTATGTTTAGCTTACAGTTCCGATGTTCTTTAAAGGCAAGATGCTGGCATTTGTTCATCTGGTGAGGACTGGGAGAGATCACATGGCAAGAGAAATGGGAGAGACGAGGAGAGAGCATGATTGCTCATTTGTAACAGCCTTCTCCAAAGAGCTAACCAAGGTCCCAGGAGAGCTATAGCACTTCCTCCTGGGGGGGCAGCTCCTTCAGTAATCTATTTCCCACTGTTAAAGGTTCTGTGTCACCTCCAAATACTGCTGTACCAAGGAGCAAGCTTTCAATGCACGAGCACCTGGGTGGCAATTAATTGTGTTCAAACCAGAGTAGAAGCCTGCTCTGTATTGAAACTAAAGTGCCTTTGCCCTCAACTCTCAGGAGTGTCATGGTACCAAAGCAGATTTTCACAAAAGGTCCCTGTAGATTAGGCGGCACAGAACACGTAAATGGCTTTCCTGTGGGAACTAGTGCGAGAGAAAGCAACGCTCACTGTCTTTCATAAAGCAGGAAGAAGGGTACAGTCTGAAGAGAAGAAGAGAGAAAAATCTAATAAGGTCCAGATTCCTAAACATCCTTGGGAAATTTTAAAAGATGCGTGTGATGACACTGACTCAAGTAAGGATAGCCATGGTATCCCAGCGCGTCTGCTGGCTCTCACAGTAGTAGCAACACCGTGTTGTCTCTCAGGGTCAAAGCTGAGACTCCTTTCCTGATTACTCTTTCAGAGGCAGAAGCCATAGATAGCTTCTTGGACCTTTTCTCGTAGATGGAATTGACTGGCTCTGAGGACCATGCTTGTAGACCCACTGTGCTCTGACTTGAAGTGAAGGAAGGAGGAAGATCAAGCACTAGGCAACAGTGACGTGGGTGTCCTCTTCCTACAGTGGACTGGTCCTTGCCTTCACCAAAACAGTCGTAAAGAACTTCCTGTTCCTGCCCTGCTCCCAGACACCACCTTTTCCTCCCCTGTCCCAGGGAAGAGGCCCAGTAGTACCCCCACCCTTTCTGTGGGAGCTCTGACTCCCTTCTCTGTTCCTTCTCTACCAGCAGGGTGGGTTATGCCCAAGCGTTAGAAGCAAATTCTGAGATCTCATGTGTTCCTTATCATCTCATAGTCCGTCTTTTTCTTTTTCACATCTTTTGTGCTGCAGCTGCCGGAGGCCTTCTTAGCCCTTACAAAGAACCCCTTGCTGCCTCCCTGACAACAGTGACGTACTCTCTCACTCTCTCTCTCTCTCTTTTTTGAAATCTTACTTTGTTGCAGTAACATCACAGCATCCCTGTTTTTCTCTTTCCAGACTTTATTCTGATTATTCTTTACGATCACTCTTCCTCTGTCTATTCCAGGAAACATCGAGTTTGGCCTTTTGTTTGTTTGTTTGTTTGTTTTGCTATCATGTTTTATGGGTGGGCCTCATGTATATAGCAGGCAAGCTCTCTACCACTGGACTGTATCTTAGCACAAATATCGCCCTTCATCAGGATTTTATCTTTGATTCCCCGAGTGCTGACTCTGCAGAGGCTCATGCCTGTAGCGCTCCCTCCAGATGTTCTGGGGTTGAAGGTGACCTTATCCCCTGAGCACGGGCAGGCGGGCTCCACTCTGCACTCCGCTTTGCATCCAGATTCTGCATTTTGCAATGTAGGTGAGATTTCACCTGCTGTATACGTTGAAAAATACTTATAATGACTGATAAATGTTGCAAAGGAAAAAGATGGTCATACTTGGTTACACATGGAATTTCCCATCTGGGGCATCTTTGGGAACATGATAGAGGAACAGAGGTTAACGATGAGGTAGGAAAATCTACTCAGTGAATTCTCTGACCTTGTTTGTAATGATGGCATGTAAGCCATGTAGTGGCCTGGGAAGAGTGAGGACAAAGCAGATGGAGGGGGG